CCAGCGACTTAACACTGCTTTTGTGCTCCAGGGTCACATATTAACTAAAAACATTAGAATTCAAATTTAAATAGGTTTCACGAGCCTTTATTAAATGCTTGTATCTGATTGTACATTAAATGCATGTACAATCAGATTTAATACTTAAAGCGTGGAACCAATCAGGATTTATGAAGGCAAAAACTGACGTGAAAACCTTCTTGTGCATACGTAATAGCATACGTTTCTGAGCTCATATATACCAGTATTTAAAATAATTCAACATTTGTTTATTAAAATGTAAAGATAAATAGAAAAATTACAATATGCATTACTATTATTATTATTATATGTGCAAATGAGCAACTGCTTGTGATAAATACGTCACTGTAATTAATTCATAAATGTGATATTACAGATTTTTTATTTTATATATATATATATATATATATTAATTACGAGTGCTGCACTTCTGAACCATAAAGTAATATTTCTGGGCATTCTGTAGGTAGAACTTTTGTGCTTGAATTTAAGAATATTTGCATTTAGGAATACTTTTTTGTGTGTATGGTCATTTTAAAAATAATTTATAGGAACATTTCAGAAATTCACAAGTTTTGTATGCCGTGCCTCCAAGCTTTTTTACCCGTTTTGCTAATAAACGTTCTACTTTCTTATTTATTTGGTTATATATTATACATGTTTACTTGTTTCCAGTTTTGTATACCTATTTAAACTTTATGTAAGTTATTTGTTATTTTATATTAGGCATAGCCTGCCCTATAGCATGGTGTATTTTTATTTGTTTTGTTAATAAACGTTATATGTTTTATATATAGGCTAAAGTGAGTTTGACGTTGTATTTTGTTGTTGCATTCAAGCAATTGACGCAGAACTGCCGCTAATTCGAAAGTGAAAGTAAAATGAGCACGGCGCTTTTAAGCTATTTAAAAGCGAAGGAAAGAGAGGAAAAGAGGGGAAATTCAAACGAACCCAAAATATTGCCAAACAGGCGCTTTTGCATCTGGTTTCGAAACTAAATCATCCGCGATGGTTTTGTCTGTCTCACCTCACTCTTCTCGTCAGTCAGCTCGACTCACTCTCCTCACTGGATAAATGAAATCTGATCTGTGATGCGACTGTCGTTCGGCATGCTGCATTGAGTAGCTGCGTTCAGTTTTTAATTGTAGTGTCTGTTCTTTTACTGAACTAAATGATTTTTATTACTATAAAAAATCAAAAAATCAAAACGACGGTGGGGGTCGGTGCCGCGGTGGGCAAGTGACGTAACCGGTGTTGCGGCTTAACACCGGTATCACCGTCAGCACCGTCTATCGCGGCAAGCCTAACTCACACACACTCTCACACACACACACACACACTGCAGCAGACAGCGCGGGAGTCTGCCGTACCTCGTTTATAGAGCCAGCCTTCCTTCACCACGCTGACCTCCGTCATGATGGGCGGGGCTTGAGAGTGATTGACAGCAAAACAACCACATCAAACGCACTGATCTACAGGAGAAACGCAGGTCAAATGGAAAATTTTTTTGCATGCATTTTTTAATTAAACCTTTTCATTAACATAAAATATTATAAAAAAAAACAAAAAAAACATCAGTGTTGGAACATAAATCTTTGCTTGATCAGATTTTTTAAAAATAAGCTTTTTCAAGCAGTTATAAGTTGTTTTATAAAAAAAACTTGTTTTATATCAATGTCAAAATATCTCTACCATCTTTCAATTTATCAGAAAACTTTTTTATTTGTTTAAATTAAAAATACACTTTTAAAGAGTAAAAATTTACAAAATACCTTAAAAACGTGGTTCATATCAGTGTCAGAATACTTAATCTGTCATCAACATAATATTTTTTAATTTAAACTATTTAATTAAAAATACACTTTTTAAAAGTTAAAACTGACAAAATATTATGTTAAAAATTTGGTTCGTATCAGTGTCAGAATATTTAATCTCTTATTAATATCTTTGCTTTGGATTGATCAAAACATGTTTTAAATTATACTCTTTAATTAAAAATAAATTTTTAAATGGGTTAAAACTTATAAAATGGTTATTTAATCTCACTTTAACATTTTGCTTTGGAATAATCATTATATATATATATGCATGTATTTTTTTAATTTAAACTTATTAAAAACAAAAGTTAAAACTTATAAAATGTTTTAAAAAAAACTTATTTTATATCAATGTCAGAAAATGTAATCTCTTTAAAATCTTTGCTTTGTATTGATCAGAAAATGTTTTTAATTAAAAAAACGATGAAGTATTATTTTATAAATAATTGAGTTATACAGTGTCACAACATTTAATATTTCATTAAAAAATTGCTTTGGATTGATCATAAAACAATGGTTTTAATTTTTATTAAAAATACTTTTTTTTTTTAGTGGTACTGAATGATTACCATATTCAAATACTATGATATTTACATGGCACTTCACAGAATATCATGTTACTAACACGGTACATGTCCAAACACTATGATATTACCACAGTACAGTAAAAAAAAACACGGTATTCCCGCCCGGTTAATGTAAACTGAATTAGTCTGACACCATTATGAGTTAAAACATAACGAATCCCGTCATGAAGGGGTTTGTGGTGAAAATCGCCAGATGAAGGTTTAGTTAGTCGTGTGAAGCTGGTAGTTAGTTGAAGCTAAGCTAACTTACCTGAGCAAACCGACTGAAACCGTCCCGCACCGAACAATCACTCTCATTCTGATGTTATTCACATATGATCTGATATTAAAGTGAAACTGGTTATTAAATGAGTTAGTTGAGTGGTTTATCCAGACTAAGTTTACCGAGCAGTTCTTTACCACACAAACGGTCCGCTCTTATTGTGATTAGACACGTGCACACTGACGCCTGTCTCGCTTCATTTATCGCGTCTTGATCCGGATCGAGTGAAAATTCAGCACGCTTTTGCACGACTCTTGTGCTCAGAGTTCGTGACGTCACCGCGCCCCGCCCCGCCCCCCGCTGCGGCTGGAATCAGAGCGAGGCGGAGACACTGATCCGGGATCAGCGCGAGCGGCTTTATTTGTAAAACAACGACATGCCGCACAGAAGTGCTCACAAGACACACACTCTCAACTCTCAGAATGTACTTTGGCGGTGCCATGGTAATACTACAGTACTTTTCTGTTAATGACATACAAAATAAACCCATATGAACAGATTGTTTGTTTGTGACAGCTGATGTTCTGAAGCTCTGTATGAGGCTCACATCTGCATCATCTTCAGTCATACATTACATGATTTAACAAACTCAGAGGCCATGGACCCCTAAATATCATCATCCTGGTGCAATAACATTTAAAAGGCAGCTAAAAAAAAAAACATTTATATTGTGAAAAACTATTATAAATATGCATATAATATTATTTGGAAAATGCTTATTTAATTAAAATACATTTTTGTCAACTTTTTAAAATCCAAATTATTTACTTTTTAAACTAATGTATTTTTTGTCGTTTTGTATTTTATTCAAATAATTTTTAATAATGCAATTTTTTGCTCACTAGAATACTGTACCATTAGATTTATTTCAATCACATCTTTAAGTAAATTTTAATCAACTTTTTATTTTATTACAATTATTAATTGCTAAACCAATTTATTTTAAAGTTTTTATCCAAATTATTATGTTTGCCATTTCTTTTAATCAACATTTTTATTTTATTGAAATGATTTATTTTTAAAACAATTTATTTTAATCAACTTTTTAATTTTATTCGAATTATTCATTTTTTAAATCAAGTAAATTTTAATCAAATTTTCATTTTATTCAACTTTTAAAAATTAAATATATTTAAATCACATTTTTATTTTATTCAAATTATTAGTTTTTAAATACATTTATTATAATCCAATTTTTATTCTATTCACATTTTTTGTTTTTAAAATCATTTTATTTTTATCAAATTTTTAATTCAATCAAATTATTTATTTTGTCCAAGCTTTTCCACTGACCTGCTAACACTCTTGCGGGTCCCGGTTTGAAAACCCCTGCTGGTCAAACACAGTTTACATAACAGTGCAAGATAAATAACCTGCAATTACACAGAATCCCACACATTCTGATCATTACAGACGTAAACAACTATTCTACTATTTCTAGATGCAGGTGGTACATGTAAGAGCTCTACATGATTTAAACACATGCAACAGACACAATAAACGCTTGACACAGCAGCGGATCAGAAACATATTAATAGAGATCATGAATATTCACATAAAGAAAAGTGAAAGGCAGCAGGTGTAAAACTACGAGGGTAAAAGCGAGTAAGTCAGGCGAGTACGAGGGTGCAGGAGTGAGATTCTTGTATCTTGAAGTGTGTGCACATGTTGTGTTTCTGCGCAGACGTTTGCGCAGATCGTCCTGATGCGCAGCTACGCCGCATTGATCTTCTGCAGCTCCTCCAGCAGAGCTGTGGATGAAACACAACACTCACAGCGTCAAAGCAGGAACTCATCACTGCATTTCTGTGCAGAACAGCAGAAGAAGCACACGACTGACCGCTGATGATCTCATCCTTCACTTTCTGCAGCTCGCTGCGCATCTCCTCCAGGATGTCCTGCGATCAGACAGGTGGTGTTTTAGATGAGGTGTGTGTGTGTGTGTGTGTGTGAGTGTGTGTGTGAGAGTGTGTGTGTGTGTGTGTGTGTGAGAGTGTGTGTGTGTGTGTGTGTGTGAGAGTGTGTGTGTGTGTGTGTGTGTGAGAGTGTGTGTGTGTGTGTGTGTGTGAGAGTGTGTGTGTGTGTGTGTGTGTGAGAGTGTGTGTGTGTGTGTGTGTGTGAGAGTGTGTGTGTGTGTGTGTGTGTG